ATAAACAGTTCCATGACAATGCTAATACTTTACAAAAGCATTTTAAAATAACTAAGGAACAAGCTAGACAAATAATAAAACAATGTCAAAATTGTGTGACCTTTTTACCACAAGTTAATCTTGGAGTCAATCCTAGAGGATTGATACCTAACCATATTTGGCAGATGGATGTCACACACTTGCCAGAATTTGGAAAATTAAAATATTTGCATGTTACAGTTGATACTTCTTCTGGATTTTTGATGGGCTCCCTTCATGCCGGAGAAAAAACTAAAGATGTTATAGCTCATTGCTTACAAAATTTTGCCACTGTGGGCGTTCCAAAACAGTTAAAAACAGATAATGCCCCTGGTTATACTTCTACCTCTTTTAAACAATTTTGCTCATCATTTGGCATTACTCATATAACAGGAATCCCATACAATCCACAGGGACAAGGTATAGTTGAAAGAGCTCATCAAACTATTAAAATGTACTTATGAAAGCAAAAAGAGGGAATTGGGAAAGGGTATATATTCCCCAAAGATAAACTTAAAATAACCCTTTTTACTCTAAACTTTTTAAATTTGGATTCATCAGGACTTAGTGCTGTGGAAAGGCATATGTGTCCAAAAAATGTGCATAAGCCCAAGGTACTTTGGAAGGATATTCTAACAGGACAATGCAAAGGTCCTGACCCAGTGATTGTCTGGAGTCGGGGGTCTGTTTGTGTGTTTCCACAGGGAGAACAGCAGCCGATTTGGATTCCAGAGAGATTAACTAAAGCGATTTCTACAGACCAAAAAGAAGATGATTTGACTCAAGTCCATAACAGCTGATATCCAAAACTCCAGTTTGGCTATCCTTACATCTGCGATAGAACCAGGATGCTTTTTTCAATATCAATTTTATTATTGCCCTTTCCCACATTCTATTTCGTTTTTTGAGCTCATACAGACCTAGGTTAATGTTTTGCTGATCAGTTCTATTTTTTGACTATAGAGTTTTTAAACATTGCAATGGAGATTTCACCTGTAAAAAGTTATAAGGCCTTTACTATTAGGTTATGTGTTGTATGTATTATATGTGTGCACACTTGTGTTTTGTGTTATATGTTTGAATGTACGTATGTCATATATCATATATGATGAGCGCTCATGAAAAAATGGATCCAAATATATTTTTTTTATTCACGTGATTTAAATGGTTTAATTTAAATTGGGTAAACAACTGTTGAGGATTGTTTTAATATGTGAACAAAAAAGGAGGTTAACAGATCTGTTTGTTTACTTTCACCTTTCCTTTTCATTATATTTAATAATTCTCTTAAAGACAATGTAAATTGTTAAGAAAATTGTTTTCTTTTAGTGCCTTCTGTAATGTTACATAATTTTTTCTTTAGCCATTATTGCCAGAATTCCTATCTTCATCCCAGTGCCGGTGAAGACAATGTAAATTGTTAAGAAAACTGTTTTCTTTTAGTGCCTTCTGGAATGTTACATAATTTTTTCTTTAGCCATTATTGCCAGAATTCCTATCTTCATCCCAGTGCTGGTGAAGTCAAAGATAAAACCAATCTACAGCTTCTGCAATAGCCATCACTGAACTGCTTGCAGAACTTGCCTGGACACATTGTGAACTCACCTGTATGCATTGTGAACTATTTGTTGGTGCAGCGACTTGTGGTAGTGTTGGGGTATTTTTGCTGATGATGCCATCGGTGGTACAATTTTTCCAAAAGGAGCCGTCAATTGGCTTGGTGTATCTTCCTCCCTTCTGCTTGTCATGATTGTCCAGCTAAAATTTGGGGGCCAACAGAGGTGAGGCAAAGAACCTCACCCCCCCGCTGGTACAAAGACCTCTCCACAGGTGTGGCTGTATACTGGACCGGTAGTCAGTGACGGGTAAGATCCAATTGCAATGGTACCAACCTAAAGGGTAAGGACCATATGTACTATTGGACAACCTAAGGCAGGCACGGTCCCTAAGCCATATGCTTTTTGTTTAAACAGAGAGGGGGAGATGTTGAGAGCCACAGCTGAAGGGGCCCCAGCAAACTTCCAGCTGCCGGCTGATGATTGGCTCACAGGGGCCCCAGCAACATCTAGCTGATTGGCTCCTCTGCGGTGATGCTCATTGGGCTGTTTCCCTGCCCTTTCAGACCATGGAGCTGCTCATTGGGGGACTTTTTTGGCTCCGCCCACATGACCCAGCCAATCAGCCTCAAGAGCAGGAGGATTGTGGGAGGTGGAGAGAGAGGCTTGTGTTGGAGAGGGAGGCTTGTGGAAAGCTGGTGGTGGCAGTTGGGGCTCTGAGGGTTTTTCCTGAGAGGCTGTTTTGTTTGGCGTGTCTTGTTCTAAAAATAAAGTTAGTTTCTTTTGACAAGTGGCTCCTGATTGTGCCCAGCCAGACTGCGGCAATTATTATTATTATCTTCTTTAAAATTCTTTTCTTCTTATTAGCCCAAACAGTTGGCAAGCCATGATCCATGAGGCAAATCCAGCCCACTGCTTATTTTTATACATATATATAAATAAAGCTTTATTGGAACACAGCCATGTTCATTTGTTTATGTATTATCTGTGACTGCTTTCATACTTCAACTATTACCAAGAGTTCAATCCTTGTCCCTGATACCAAACCAATAACAAGGATGAGAAAAAGAAAAAAAAAAAAAGTTTTATTGTTTGCTAGCAAAGGAGAAACAGAGGACTCCAGCCCCAGAGGCTGTGATTCTGCCCTTCAGGGAAAAGGGTTTTTTAAAAAAGGTGATTCAAAGGCTACATTCCACATGTTCTGTCTGAAATTATAACTCACTTGTTAATTTGGGAAACAATCATTTCTGAGATCTTCTGATGCTATCCTCAGAGTGTGAATTACTTCCTTTCTGTGGTGGGTGTATGCTCAAGGACAAATAACTCTGCCTAGGATGGGAAAGAAAGGTAATTCTGTTTCCCCTGAGATCAGGGAGGGGGAGAGATTAGGGAGGCCCTGGGAGAAAGGAAGAGAAGAAACATGTCCATTTTAAAAACAAGTCGCAGTGGCAGAGCAGCAGGGCTGTATTCAAAGCATAAGGTGAACCACTGTTACTATTTTATTTTATTTGGCACCAGGGATTGAATCCAGGGGCAGTTAACCACTGAGATATTTCCCTAGCTCTTTCTATTTTTTATCTTGAGACAAGGTCTTGCTAAATTGCTTAAGGCCTCATTAGGTTGTTGAGCTGGCTTTGAATTTGCAATCCAGACTCAGCCTCCAGAATTGCTGGGATTAAGGCATGCACCACTCAGGCTGGTTTAACCAATTGTTTAACCAATCCTCAGCAATTTATCGAGGCCCTAAACAATTTTAATCTGGATTCTATGAATGATTCCACTATGTTGATAAACCACCTGAAATTATATGCAAAGTTTGTGTGGATATGCAAGTGTGCATATGTATGGGGAGAAAGTTTCCAGCTTAATCTTTTGGTAATAAATTTCAATAGTTAAGGGCATAGGACCTGGATACAAACTGCCCTGAATCCCAGCTCTGCTAATTCCACTATCACCTAAACTAATTAACCTCACCATGCTTTGTCTGTAAAATGGGGATGTTGTAGTACCTACCTCATTATTATGGGAATTTAGAGAGTTAACATATATAAAGCATTTGGAGATGACTTGGCATATGATAAATGGTATATAAGCATTGGCTAATATTGCCATTTCTGGCTTTCCCCTTGCCTGTAAGGCTCCCAGCTAGACCAATGTTTTCCTTTTCTTTCTTTCTTTTTTTTAATATTTATTTTTTAGTTGCAGTTGGACACAATATCTTTATTCTATTTTTTTTAATGTGGCACTGAGGATCAAACCCAGGGTCTCCCATGTGGTAGGCGAGCACTCTACTGCCTAGCCCCAACCCCAGTCCCTAGACCAATGTTTTCTGATGCTCTAGTGCACCTTGCTCTCCAGGACTCATCCCTCAGGCTCTTTCTCTGCTCAGAGCAAGCTTGCCAAAGTGTGGCTTGCCCACTAACTCTTGACCTTGCCTCTGGCCTCAGCTCAAATATTTTCTCCAAGAAGCCCTTGCTGATCTCTAGTCTATGAGAGTCCTCCCTCCTCTCAACTCTCAGCCCAATTTTTCCCCATTAAAAACAACAACAACAACAAAAAAAAAACAAAAAACCTGCACTATAATTGAGTGAGATCTCTTTAAGGGTTTCCCTTACAGTTTCTAAGCTCTGAAAAGGACAAAGGTCATGTCTGCCTGGCTCCCTGTGGACTTCAGTGCAGTGCCTAATATACTGTAGGAATACCATAAATATCGGTCAAATGAATTAGTGAATGAATAAAAACAAAACAAAAAAATGTAGCTGGCTGGGTGGTACGCAGAGATCAAAGCCATCCTCAGCAATTTAACGAGGCCCTAAGCAATTTAGCGAGACCCTGTCTCAAAATGAAAAAAAAACAAAAAGGCTTGGGGATGTAGTTCAGTGTTAAAGCACAAAAGCGCGCCACAAAGAAAGAAATAATTAAGCAGGGAGCTTGCCTGTTCCCAGAGAAGATATGCATACCCTTAATTTAAGACATGATTAAATACTTTCATAAACTGGTAAAATCAACTGTGTCAATCTGAGAAATTTACTGCTATCTTGGGAGATGATACATAAGTGACACGTTATCAGGAAAACTACATTTTATTATTAATACTCGAACACTAGGAAAATTATAATAATTACCATCATAATTCAAAATAGACACAATAAAGAGATTCTTTAGGAAATGTCTTAAAGGACCAATAGTTGCTTTCCCTCCACTGGAATAAGGAATCCCTGCAAGAGTTCGCACTGCACCCACCTCACCAACTGTCAAACTCCAAGGGTTCCTCTGCTGTGTAAAGGGCCTTAAAATACCTGCGGGACACCAGTGCCTATTCTCCAGCCAAAACAATGAGGTAACTGCCAACCACGATGGGGGGTGGAGGCGGGGACTGGACTTGGGCCCCAGGAGATACAGAACTGGGGAAATTTCACAAGAATTGCTGGTGGTCAGAGGGCTTTAGGAGAGCCGGTTGGAATGTCTCAGAGACCCTAGACAGTTGGAGATCTGTCATGCATCTGGCAGATTTCTGAGGATGGAAGCAGCTTCCTTAGACAGCCCTTCAGCTCACAAGCCTTGGACTACATTTCCCAGCGGGCTTGCTTTAGGGCTGGTTGTGAGTAATAGGGCGTGTCTAGGAAGAGAAGCCATAGTACTTCAGCAGCGCTGGGGCATCTTGCTCCGCTGCAGCTGCGCCGGCAGAGATGGTTGTACTCCTGCTCCTGCTCTTCCTTCTCCCCTTTCTCCTGTACGTGACTGCGCCCCAAATCAGGTTTGTGCAATTATGTGTTGCCTTCTCTTGCAAAGTCTTCACGAGGGCACCCGAATTCTCAATGAAGCTCTTTTCTTCAAAAAGAAGGACTAAGGAAAACTCCCCGTGGTGGTGGTGGTGGTGGTGGTGGTGGTGGTGATGGTGGTGGGGTCCCCAAGATGGCCTAGAGCCGGAGTTCAGTGGGTTGCAGGCCAGGTCCAGGTGTCTTGGATGTTGGTAGGGTAAGATCCGACACCACAGGCGGTCGTGAACCATTCTGAGCATCCTGCTTTGCTTCTCCGATCCCCCCTATTCGTCTGGCACCCCCCCTGCCTCCGCCTTCAGGGATCCCTGAGCGCAAGGCTGCCTTAAATGCTCGAGTTTTCAGCTTGGCGGATTTCAAACCCTAGAACGGAATGTGGCCCCCAGCTCTGTTTCCTCCTTCAACTCCCACGTCTTGCCCCAGCGCTATCTATCTTCTTGCTTCCAGCCTTTGAGAAACAAAGAACTATTGCACCTTTTGCTTTATGGCCCGGTTGCATGCGCTCTCGTTACTATTAGATTAGTGCTTTCGTGAGGCGGCTGTAAAGGAGAGAAATGGAAAGAGTGATTATGCACCCTACCCTGCCTTCGAAGCAAGAGCATGGGGGACGGTGAGGGGTGTTGAGGGGGAGGACAAGAAAAGTGTGGGGGACGGTTTTTTGACCAGGTGACAGATCAGCCCGAGGCTGGCGCGGTTCCCCAGAGAATCAGCAGCGGGCTGCACAATCGCTGATTGGTTCTGAGTAGAGTCACCCGTAGTGACGGCGGTCCAGTGACTGAAGAGACACACTCCTTCCCCAAGAGGTGTGATCATAGTTGCAGTAGAAACGGAAGCTGTGCCAGATTCTACTCAGTCATTTCTTACCATATAAGATTGATCTATCAAGGATCACCTGCCTGCCTCCCTGCCTCCCTTTCTTGACTTTGACTTTTCCTCATTGATGACCCTCTTCCGGTTGTATTTTTTTTTCTCAATCCTAAACATTCACTGCTCCTATCTCTAAGCACACACGTGGGTTATCATACTCAAATGAAAACATGATTTTTTTTATGTCTTTGCCACATCTTCTTATGCACATAGAATCTCAATGAAAACTTGAACCATAACTGGGAAATAGTTCCTAATGATATTTTTCACTGGGAAAATCTTTCTTAGAAAAATATCTAAGTGAGGTGATATTTTTCTTATAAAGAATATTCTTCAGGCTTTATCTCCAGCCTAGCTATGTCATGGGAGCCAGGCCAGAGCTGGAATTTTATAGTTGATTTTCTTTTTCATTTCTGCTATTTAAGGAGAGGAAGGAGCTAAGTGCAGCCCCCAACAATTTGTCATTATTGGAGCTCAAGCTGAAGGAGTGTGGGAAATAGAGCTGGGGACATGTTCTTTGAGCAGGGAGGTATCAGTTGGTGGGCACCATGAATTAGTTCACCTCCTTTTCAGCCTGTTTGCACTAAGCAGGTAGCTTTGGTGGCTAGGAGTAATTTGCAGTTCCAAGTTCAATGAAAAAAGCTGAAATGCTCTTTAAAAATGCACCTCCTCATCATCTGATTATTTTAGTCCCAAGATTGTAAAGGAGAGAAAAGAAGAATCTGAGGACTGCCAAAATGAATTTGTGCATTTGTTCTTTTGGAAAGGCAGTATAGTGTAGTACTTAGGAGCAAGGACTGTAATTAGACAAACCAAGACTTGAAACCCCACTCTCCTTTGTACTTATTTAACTCCGTGTGTGTGTATGTGTGTGTGTGTGCGCGTTCATAGGATTTGAATCCATGGTTTCACTCGTGCTAAGTACATATCACTGAGCTACATCCCCGACCCCTGTCTTATTTTCATGTGTGTAAATGTATGTGAGTGTGGCCTTTTTCTTGATTTGTTCTAGATTTACAAGCTTTCATAATTTTAACTCTTCTAATTGATTAATCATTTCTCAAGACTAAATATGTCAGTTGTTGGCAGAGTGACATGCAGAGACAAGTTCTTTCCTCTTCTTGACTGGGTCTTGTGATTTTTCTAAGCCAAAAGTACCTCCTGGGGAGCTCAAACTGTAGTCAGGTGCTTGGCTAATCAAACCTTCATCCAGTTCTTATGCTGCGGGGAACAGCTTTTTCCCTTGTGCAAGAGCAGATTGTTTTCTTTCCACCAATTTTTCTTAAACTTGTAAAAGGACATAAGTGGAAGAACCTAAAGGAAACCTCAGCCTTGGGATTTGAAGACATTGGGAGTTGAGGAATCCTCTGCAGGGATGAGATAATGAAGGACTGATAAACTCTCCTCCTTTGTCTACAGGAAAATGCTGTCTAGTGGGGTGTGCACATCTACTGTCCAGCTTCCTGGGAAGGTAGCTGTAGTCACTGGAGCTAACACAGGAATTGGAAAGGAGACAGCTAAAGAGCTGGCTCAAAGAGGCAAGTTCATCTGCTCTTCATTCCCTACTGCTACTGTAGTTTTCCCTCACAGTGGGTCATTTTCCTTATTTCTTCATGGTCCTAGATTCAAGAATACTCCAGTGTGATATTCTACTTGTAATGGGCATTTAACAGATATTATCTATCTGTTTTTCTTTCTTGATTTGATTTGAATACCTCTGTTGTGAATTAGGGATAAAAATTTTAATCTAAAAACAGAGAACAACATTAATATTACTACATTAATGTCAGTATTAATCTATAACACCCAATCAAAAAACAACTGACAGTTTTTTTCATATGTCGTTTGATAGGAGCCCGTGTGTATTTAGCTTGCCGGGATATGCAAAAGGGGGAATTGGTGGCCAGAGAGATCCAAGACATGACAGGGAACCAGGAGGTGTTGGCACGGAAACTGGACCTGTCTGATACAAAGTCTATTCGAGCCTTTGCTAAGGACTTCTTAGCACGTAAGTGTGGAACCAGAAACTATGTTGTGGGTCTTACGATCAACATAGCAGACTTAGCTAAAAGGGAAAGATTCCTTTCCCTCTAATACATAGAAATAGTGGATAAAATATAGCCCCAAACTTTCCATATATAACTGAACTCATGTGATCATTGGGATGTGATTTATGTCTGGGGAACATCCTAGGAGCAGAAACAAAAAGGCAACCATAACAGCGAGCATGAGCCAAGGCCAGAATCTTATGGGAGTATCAATACTTGGTTGGGGCTTTTTAAGGTCTAGGGTCTAAATAACAAGATCAGGAGATGAGACCTCAGGTTTTTGAGGGGTGAAACACCATAGATAAGGTTGAGATTCACAAAGGGCTATCTGGTCCATGGTAAAGGGAAAAACAACAAAACCCTGACTACTTTGTACCAGTTCAGGGACATGATGAAAAGCCTTTTCATCTTTTCAGGATATGGATGAATAGTCATCTGCAAGAAACTAAAACCTCAAACTGGTCTTATCTGTGGGGTCTGAATCATACCACCAAATGGTGTAGGATCTTTATTTTTTAATTACAAGAAATGTTTTTTGGTGCCAGACTCTTGAGCTGAGACATTAACATAAAAACCTATAATAGGTGCCAGGTATGGTATTACATACCTATAATCTCAGCTACTCGGGAGACTGAAGCAGGAAGATCACAAGTTTGAAGCCAGCCTGCACAATTTAGAGAGAACCTGTCAGGAAATAAAAATTTTAAAAGGGCTTAGAATGTGGCTCAGTGGTAGAGCATTGCCTAGCATGTATGAGGCCCTGGGTTCAATTCCCAGTATTGAAAACAAACAAACAAAACTATAGCTCTTGTGAAAAACAAATCCAAGCTTACTCTACAGATATCCCTTTTCATTGCCCAGGGATCTAGGTCTCCCAGAGGAAATACCTTCCACTGCTATGAACTTAAACCACATGAGGAAATGGACTACTAAAGACAGGTGGCAAGTTTCTTTTGGGATCTGAATTCCAGAAGCAAGGGTGCATATAGAACAACCTTTTTTCTCTTGCTTTGGGATCTTCCCATTCAGCTTGGGAAGTCTTTGTATTGGGAGAGGTGGACAGAATACTTTCAAAAGCAATGAGTAAGCAGCTCCTGAACTGGAAATACTGGGAAAGCCATTCAGTGATATCAGATGGTATTTTTCCATGTTGTAGAAATATGTAGGATTCAACTAAGTTCTTACAATGAAAAAACAATGCAGCGAAGGGGAAATGGAGGGAAGATTGAAGTCCTGCACCCCCACTTTCAAAGCCTGGGTTTTGAGGCAGGTGTCAAAGATGTAACAGCTATGGCTGGCCACATTCATGCTCCGTTTTCTCTTTCCTGCAGAGGAAAAGCACCTCCACATTTTGATCAACAATGCAGGAGTGATGATGTGTCCCTACTCTAAGACAGCAGATGGCTTCGAGATGCACATGGGAGTCAACCACTTGGGTAGGAAATCTGGTCTTATCATAAAACTGGAAGAAATCTAAAGTTCTCCTTGGAAACCTTAGGAGTCAGATTGAGCCTTCTTTGTGGTATGATTGGCGCTCAGGTCTATAATAGACCAGGTGAGAGTTATGAATAGTTTAGACCAGCCTGAAGCTGAGGCCTGCCTTAGGTTCTGCCTACGTTTTAATCTGCATTCCAGATTTGGTTTACCTTGAGAGCATTTTCCAACAGCCCAATAGGATTGGGGACTGTGTTGCTTCTTAGAAGTGATCCCTGTAGCTGGTATCAGATAGAGGCTACCTACACTTAAAGAGTGATGTTAACCACCATTGGAACAAGACAGGACTTCATAGGCACTTGTCACACCTACCTGGCTGTTTCCATTTCCCTGAACCTTCACTGGACTTGTGTAGTTGACAGTGTAAGTTGAGGTGAAAGGCTTTATTCCTGAATTCTCTGTCCCCCATAGCTGAGCCCTGCTTACCTCCATTCCTCTTACCTCATACTGGCACTGAACTCTGTTAATCCTAGTTTTTTCTCAACAGGTCACTTCCTTCTGACCCATCTGCTGCTAGAGAGACTGAAGGAATCAGCCCCATCAAGGGTAGTAAATGTGTCTTCCTTGGCACATCACCTGGGAAGGATCCACTTCCATAACCTACAAGGCGAGAAATTCTACAATTCAGGTCTAGCCTACTGTCACAGCAAGTTAGCCAACATTCTTTTCACCCAGGAACTGGCCAGGAGGCTGAAAGGTAGGCTTGGGAAAAATGAATATGGAAACATAATTCAATGGAAGATAGCTAAATGCCACAAGAATGGAAACTGTTTTCCAGAGCCTGTCACCTGCCCTCAGGACCTGCTTCCCTGACTCTAAATGAATATTGGAGGTGGCTAGCTGGGGACAGGGAGATTCTTACTTTGATTCTGAAGGCTCCACAACTTACTGTGTGAGCTGAAGAAGTTACTTAACTTTTCAAAACTTATTTCTTCATGTGTACAATGAGACTGCTCCACAGATGGTTGTCATAATTCAGGCTCATGAGCAAGTCGAGATTTTTCACTCTTAGTGAGACTGAGTAGCAGGAAGGGAACTGAATTAACACTAGATACAGCCATTAGAATAAAACATTTACTGGGATTCTGGAGGGGCATCTTCCTAACACCAAAGGGTCTAATATGAGGGATAGTGAAGGGGACTCTCCAGTCACAAGTAAACAAAAGTTCTTAGCATGATCAACTCTGGATTTCCAACAAAGATAAAGGAAATGAAAATCTAAAAGGGCAATATGTAGGAGAAGAGAGAGGCAGAATTCAGACTCAAGGAATTAATCACAGGATCCCCACTTTAGAATAGGATCCTCATACTTCATGGTCAGCCACAAGATGAGAAGAAGGAAGCTGGTAGGCAGCTCAATCCATATGCCCAGTCTGTACCCAGGGCATGCATCCTTTATTAACTCAGGATAGATGAGGATATCATAACAGTAAGAACTATCCAAAGAGTAGGTCAGGGAGCTAAGGCAGCCTGGAGGTGTAGAGATGGGTCCACAGTGAGAATCCAGTAAAAGTAGAGTATATACTAGGGAGTAAACCTGACAGTTTTCCTGGATTTTTAGGTAGAAAATAGCTGTGTTGAAGAGCAAGAACCCCCATGTGACAGATTGATTCATCCAACCATTCCGCAGACATGTATTCCATTCCTGATTTAGGGGAGTAGGGATGAGGTGGTGGACAAGACTCTATTTGTTTGACGTCTAATGGGAGAGAGAGATGATTAGCAACATTTGTTCCACGTAAAATCGTCTAGTAATACATGAGATAATTTTTGCTATAAAAAGTTCAAATAGTATGTGATAGTATACAGAATTAAAGATGAAAACCTTTATTTATTCTTTTAGCCCCCTTCCAATTTTTTCCCTTCAAGTGATGCTGTCAGCAGCTTGTTGTGCTGATTTCCAATCATCCCCCGTGCATTTACATATGCATGTCATACACAAGGAACTACATTTCTAACATGGTATCTTGGCAATTCTTCCATGTGGTACATATTTACTCCCATTCATTTGTTGGCTGCATTATATTTAATATAGCTGTACCTTTGCTTATTTATCCATTTTCTTAAAACATATAGGTTGTTTCCTTTTTTGTTGCTGCTATTTAATTTTAATTATGGTAATGTTATAAAGGTTAAGTGCAAGGACTTAATAATGGATTGGGCTGGCAAGGACCTTATTCAATCTAAGGGTTTAAGAAAGATTCTCTGAGGAAGAAATTGCAATCTGAGCCCCAAAGAATGATTAAAAATTAAATGGGTCATAGGTGCAGGGTGGTGAGAAGGCTGAGGAACATTCCAGCCAGAAGGAAGAAGATGTATAAAGTATGAGCTCTGTTGGAGAAACAGAGAAGACTGGTTAGAACATGGTTTGAACAGAGGATTGAGCTAAAACTGAAAGGTAGATAGAGGCCATAGTAAGGATTTTAGTGTTAATTCTAAGAGCAGTAGAAAAACCTTTGAAATTAAGGCCTTTTAGAAATGGGCAGGAGTAGGTGCAGCAAGCCTGGACTAGGGTGGTGGAGATGGAATGTAGAAGACACTCCTGAGAGATATTTAGGATGTAGAAACCACAGAGCTTGTTGATGATTATGCATGGTGAAGTGGGGAATCATCAAGTGCTGCTCCTAGAAGCCTATTTAGGTATTTAGGGGACATGGCAGCAACCAGGTTTGGACTTAAAAGTGGAAGTCAGTTTTAGACCTCTGAATCTGCATTGTGGTAGGTTATCTAGGGAAGACTGTGGAGTAGGCAGTTGGAAATAATGAGTACTTTATCTCAAGTTGCAAAATCCACAACTTCTCAAACTTGACACCAAAACTTATTTGGTAGCAAAACCTCAACTATGCTAGGGAGATTAGATAATAGGCAGGATAGGTATATGTCTCATATTATCCTGCTAAAATAAGAAGAAATTTAAAACATTTTTGGTCTCAAGATTTCCAGACAGGATCAGGGACCTGAAATAACATGTGCAGAAGTGTTATTTAGCATTTCCATATTCCAGGGACTATTCTCAGCTCTTTACATATGTGAAATTATCTACTCTTCAGACAAACCCTGTGAGGTATAGGTATCATGATTAGCCCCATTTTAGAGATGAGAAAGTAAGTCACAAAAACAGGAGCTTGTCTCAGGTTACACAGCCAATGAATGGAGTTGGGAGTTGAAATGGGGCATTCTCGCTGCTACAAAGTCCATGCTCTTCACCACTTCTCATAGTTACTCTAGAATCCAAAGGAACAGTTTGGGCTGTAGATGCAAAGTGTAAGTCTAGTGAGCCATGACAATTCCAAGACTTAACATTTGGATAGAAAATGATGATAAGGCTGTCTAGGAAACTGAGATGAAGCAGCCAGAAGAAGGGTTAAGAGACCAGAAGAGGTGTGGGGTCATAGAAGCCAGTTAAAAAAAAAAAAAAAAAAAGGACTTAAAAAAACAGGGGATCAACAATGTAAAGTGTTCCTAACAGGCCAAGTCTTGGTTCTGCTACAACAAAACAGTTAATAACCTCTCAGAGCCTTAACTTCTTAATCTGTGAAATGGATGTGTAAATTAACTGAATAGTGCTTGTGATGTTACCGTGGCAGGGGGTTCACTTGTGGGATCACAAGAGTCTTCCCATCCTTTTTGGTAAAATCGAGTCCGTCTCTTTACGTGGCACCCCCTACAGGCTCTGGCGTTACCACATATTCTGTACATCCTGGCACAGTCAAATCAGAATTGGTTCGGCACTCATCTTTCATGAGGTCGATGTGGTGGCTTTTCTCCTTCTTCATCAAGACTCCTCAGCAGGGAGCCCAGACCAGCCTGTACTGTGCCTTAACAGAAGGTCTTGAGATTCTAAGTGGGAATCATTTCAGGTATGCATATATCTGTTTTTGAAGATGAATTTTATTTCTCAAAGGAAATTATCGGAATTTGTCTGGTATGTCGTAGCCTTTTAAAAAAAGTATTTTGTCAAATATATCTAGAGTTTTTATCTTTTATGTGACCCATTCACATTTTTTGTGATACCTAAGTTTGATTTTTTTCTCTTACTCTGATAATTATGCTTTCTATTTCTTTTCATCCTATCTTTTGTTATGTCAGTCAAGTTTTATTTATTCCTTTTTGGACTCTTTAGTTCTATATTTCTCACATTAAAAAGAACTTTAATCTGTTTTTTTCATTGTCTTTAGAATTGAAAGATTCCCTTCTTGAATGAGTAAAAGTTTAAAAACTTCATTGTAGAGGCTTTTGAACATACACAGCAGTAGAACAATTAGCATATTGAACTCACATATACCCATCATCCAGTTTCAACTGTCATTATCCTTCACACCTTTCCATATTTTCTTCTCCCATATTACTATTATTATTATTATTATTTTAATGTTTTTTAGTTATAGATGGACACAATACCTTTTCATTTTATTTGTTTATTTTTATGTGGTACTGAGGATCAAACCCAGTTCCTCACACATGCTAGGCAAGTGCTCCACTCTGAGCCACAACCCCAGCTCATTCTTCTCCCATATTATTTTGAAGAAAAATCCCAGACATCACATAAGATTGGATTTTTAACATTTTATTTATCTTCATGACAATGTTAAAGTAACCTGATATTTTGGAGAAGGGGCTATAAATTATATTCAGATTGGAAAGAAAGGTAATTAGATGATGAAAAGTCTATAGTACCAACTTACAGAAGAACCACAGAAGTTATTTCCTTAGAGACAGACAGAATCTAGTCTATGTTTTAGAAAAATATTTGTTTAATGAATAAGTAACCCAGTGAGAGGTAGAGTCCCTGATTTAGGGTATTGACAAAAGGATAGTTGCATGCCAGAGGCCCTTGAAGAGACAGAATTTTACCACTGGATGAGTGAGAGAGGGAGGGAGAGAGGGAGGAGGAAGATTTGGTAGCCTGGGTTTCAAGCCTGAGTGTCTAGGAGGTTGATGATGACATTAACCCAGATAGCAGGCATGGAAAAATAGTGTATGACTTAAGGTTCTTGAATTCCAAAGCAGTGGACATGAACGCTGGCAAAGTTAAGCAGGAAGGAAATTTTCTATAATATTAGAGCTGGAGGTGCCTGTAGATTCAAAGGGAAGACTGAAGAGTTGCTTAGAACAGTCAGAATGGCCAGCCACCCTGCTGGAGCACTGCTGCCAGGGTGAAATCTTTTAGTTTTGGTTGCTCACTATACAGTCTCCAGGGAGGAAGCATTGGATAGAAGGAAGTTGCCAAAAGAAGATGGAATGGATATTTAGTCAGAATGACAGTTTTCCCTGGCGTAGTAAATCTTGCTCTGTATATGTTGAGTGTGTATTACAAGACATACAAATAGAAATGTGTAGCAGAGAGTTGAAAGTATGGGTCTGAAGTTCAAGAAAATAGATAAATACAGTTTTGCACACTGGAATGATTTTCCAAGAGTGAGTGGAGGCCGGATGTGGTGGTGCACACCTGTAATCCCAGCAACTTGGGAGGCTGAGGCAGGAGGATCGCAAGTTCAAAGCCAACCCAGTCTATGGATTCTTAATTTTACTTCATTTTGAAGATCCAACAGCAGCCAAGTAGAACACTATTTAGAAAGCAATGTAAAAGTCTGTTTTGATTGGAACTTTGCACTGGCTGTTCTCTCTGCCTATTTCTACTAATCTTTCTGTCTGTAATGTTTTGCCTATAATGGACATTTCACAAAAATGGAATGATAAAATGTGGTATTTGTGACTTTCAATTAGCATAATGTTTTCAAGGTTTATCTATACCAAAACGTATCAGTTCTTAGTTCTTTTTTTAATAATTTTTTTCTTAGGTGTAGATGGACACAATACCCTTATTTTATTTATTTATTTTTATGTGGTGCTAAGGATAAAACCCACTGCCTCACACGTGCGAGGTGAGCACTCTTCTACTGAACTACAACCCCAGCCCCTCTTATTTCCTTTTTATTGCTTAATAATATTTAATTATATGGATATACCATAGTTTATTTATCCTTTCATCAGTCAGTGGACATTTAGGTTTCCAAATTTTTTGGCTATTTGAATACTACTGTTGTGAGCATCCTTATAGAAACTTTTGTATTGGCATTGCTCTTGGGGCATCTGGTAACTCTGTTTAACTGTTGAAGAGTTGCCAGACTTTTCCAAAGTGACCATCCTTTTACATTCTCACTGGTCATGTATGAAGGTTCCAGTTTCTCCATATCCCAAACAATACATGCTATTGTGTCTCCTTTTGATTTTAGCCATCATAGTGAATATCTTGTCATTATCATTTTCCTGCTAATGATATGAAACATTTTTCTTGTGCTTCATTGTACTTTAATGTATGTACATTGGAGAAGTGTATGATTTGAATCCTTTGCCCATTTTTAAGTTAAATTATTGTCTTTTTATTGTTTAGTTGCAAGAGTTCTTTATAGTCTAAATACAAGTCCTTTATCACATAAAAGATTTAAAAGTATTCTTTCACTCTGTGGGTTGTGGGTTGTCTTTTCACCTTTGTGTGTGTGTGTGTGTGTGTGTGTGTTACTGGGTATTGAACTTAGGGGCACTCAACCACTGACCACATCCCCAGCCCTATTTTGTATATAGACAGTGTCTCACTGATTTGCTTATTGCCTCACTTTTGCTGAGGCTGGCTTTGAACTCATGATCTTTCTGCCTCAGACTCCTGAGCCACTGAGATTGCAGGTGTGTGCCACCACGCCCAACAATCACTTTCTTAATAATACCCTTGGAAGTACCCAAATTTTTAATTTTGATAAAGTCCAATTTATCTACATTTTTCTTTTGTCACTTGGGCTTTTGGTGTCATATCTAAGAAACCACTGCCTCACCCAGGTTCACAGATTTTCTACTCTGCTATGTTTTCTTTACACAGTTTTATAGTTTTAGCATTACATTTAGGTCTGTGATCCATGTTGAGTTATTTTTTGTATGTATTAGGAATTAGAGGCCTAATTTCATTCCTTTGCATGTAGATATCCAGCAGTCCAAGCAACATTTGTTGGAAAGACTGTTCTTTCCCCATTGAATTATCTTGGTAGCTGTATTAGTCTGCTCAGACGGCCAGTACAGAATATAGTTAGCCCTGAATATCCATGGTTCTGCATCTGTGGATTCAACTAGTAGAGGATTGACAGTGTTCACGGGGAAGAGTGTATCTGTACTGAACTCAGAGTTTGTTTCTTGACATTATTCCTTAAACAATATAGTGTAACAACTTATTTACATAACATTTACATTAGGATTGTAAGTATCTTATGAGACGATGTGTGTAGGCTATTATGCAAATATGATACCATTTTATGTAAGGGACTTAGGCATCCCACAGGAGGTCCTAAAACTAGAGACTGGGTGCCTGTAGCACAGATTGGATGCCTTAAACATTTATTTTTTTACAGTTCTGGAGACAAGATCTTGTCCAAGATAAAGGACTGGCAGGGTTGGTTTCTGATGAGACCTTTCTTCAAGGCTTTGGAATGGCTGTCCTCTCTGTGTCCTCACAGGGCCTTTCCTCTGTGCACAAACATTCCTAGAGTCTCTTCTTCTTCTAAGGACACTAGTCCTATTGGATTAGGGCCCCACTTCTAGCCTCATTTAACCTAAATTATCTCCTTAAAGGCCCCATCTACAAGTACAGTCACATTGGGGGTTAGGGTTTCAATGTATGGATTTTGGAGAGACAAAATTCAATCCCTAGGCTAGGTATAGTGGTACACGACCGTAAACCCAGAGGCTCCAGAGGCTGAGGCAGGAGAATTGCAAGTTCAAAGCCAACCTCAGCAACTTAGCAAGGCCCTAAGCAACTCAGTGAGCCCTCTCTCTAAATAAAATACAAAAAAGGGATGGGGATATGGCTCAGTGGTAGAGTGCCCCTGGGTTCAATCCCTGGTACAAAAAAAAAAAAAAAAATTCAATCCATAACAGGAACCTTTTTGGAAGTCAATTGACCATAAAGGTAGGGGTTTATTTCTACACATTTAATTTTGTTATATTCATTTATCTGTCTGTCCTTATGCAGGTACCACATTATCTTGATTACTGTAACTTTGTAGTAAGTTAATTTTTTTATATTAGCCAATCTTTTACTATATTTATTCTTAACAAATTTTGGGGGGATTATCAGCACTTCAACCATGTTGATACAGTAACCACACTTAAATAGCTCATACTATAGTATTTAAATAATTTTTATAGCACATCATAATTTACAAGGTATCTTTGTGTCCATTGTATCATTTGCTCTTCACTATGACCTTAAGAAGGGTATAAGACACAGGGCAGAGGAAGATGCTTACAGAGGCTAGATGTTTCCAGAGAGTGGTTCTCTGTGATGGTATTTTCATTCACAAAAGTCAGGTTGTGCTGGTCATACTGTAAGTTTTCTTAAGTAGATATACTACACTTATAATTCTTGTTTTATAAATGTGAAGTTTTGTGGGTTTTTTTCCTTTTGTGTGTGTGGTACTGGGGATTGAACCCAAGGTCTCATGCTTGCTAGGCAAGCATTTCTATATATCCCAACCCTTTTTTAAATTTTTGAGACAGGGTCTCATTCAGTTGACCAAGCTGGCCTCAAGCCTGTAATGCTCTGGCCTCAGCCTCTGGGGTAGCTGGGATTATAGGCATATACTACCACCCTTGAATATGTTTTTAAGTGATCTGTACATGTGAAGGTATTTTAAATGATGTTTCTCAAGCATTAGCTAGTTATAAGGATCATCTTAAGAACTAGTTGAAAACAGATTCCTGGGCCTCAACCTGAGGGATTCTGATTCAGTATGTCTGAAATAGGACCAGAGAACTGTCATTTCTGACAAGCTCCAGGATGATATTCCTGCTGCTGGTCCACGGCCCACACCAAGTAGCATGTGTTAATGAACATATGTTAGGAATTTGCTTCATGTTGTTAATTCAGAGTTGGCAACTCTACTTTTACCTTCAGAATTTGCTTAGAAGCCATGCCTATAATCCCAATGGCTTGGGAGGCTGAGGCAGGAGGATCACAAATTCAAGGCCAGCTTCAGCAATTTATTGAGGCTCCAAGCAACTTAGCAAGACCCTGTCTCAAAATAAAAAATAAAAAGGGATGGGGATTTGGATCAGTGGATAAGTACCCCTGGGTTCAATTCCCAGTTCCAAAAAAAGAAAAGAAACTTAGTTACCAACACAGCAGCCTTTCAAAGGTGATTAGGTCAAGAAAGATTAAATACCATTATTGCAGGAGTGGTAGAGAGTTCCTTATAAAAGGATGAACTGGGGCCCTCAACCACCTGGTGCCTTCTGCCTTGTCATGATACAACCAGAAGGCCCTCACCAGATGCCAGTCCCTTCAAGTTCATCTTCCCAGTCCCCATAATCATGAGCCATTAAATTTCAGTTCATATATAAGTTAAACAGTCTGGTTAACCAGTCTATAGCAACATACAAAGGACTAAGACACACCTGGCACCTTGTTACCATTTCTTTTTTGCTGTCACCTTTTCCTTCCTTTGTTGTTTATGAAGCTGGCTATATTTGTCATGAGTTTTAAAGTAGTTATAATTGCAGATAGTTCAGGAATAAGAAATATTCTTTTACTACTCCAAGCATCTGTGACCAGTGTAAGCAGCAGGATCTCAGCTTTGTAACAATGTCCAGGGCCTGGAAGGATGGCCCTTATGGTCTTATTTGAAGAAGGTAGACATACACAGGTGTCAGGCAGGCACTGATATTAGAGTTAAATATATACACAGAAAGGAAGACATAAAGACCTAATGAAACATTCTGATCAGAGTGACCTAATAAGAAGATCTAACTGGCATTCATATTTTCTCAGAGAATAGGACCAACTGTGGCCCTGTCCTGAAGGACATGTGATCCCTGGATTGTTTTTCTATCCTATTCTTTATCCCAGGCAGAGAGCAGATTCCATTCTTAACCCTTTGCTTCAAGCCTCTCTCTTTCCTTCCCAGTGACTGCCATGTGGCATGGGTCTCTGCCCAGGCTCGTAATGAGACAATAGCAAGAAGACTATGGGATGTCAGCTGTGACCTGCTGGGACTCCCAATGGATTGACTGGTGGTAGTTGGACCCCAAAGAAGACTGCAGCTGAAGATACAATGCTCCTGACAAAATGTTTCTCCTTCAAGGTGGCCAAAACCTGAAGCACAAAAAGAACAAACCTTCTGGCCTAGCCTACGTGGTATCCAGTTAAATTCCAGTACACTGCCAGACTCATGTTAATACCTTGCATTTGTCCAGACTTACTTTGTTCTTGTTACTACCAGTTTCTAGCAATATCATTGGATAAGATAACCTCATAAGACCTGTACAGCTCATATTTTCCTTCTGAAACCTACTCCTACTTAAGAGAATCTAAGCTCTGGAAGGTTGATGTTTGGAAATATGGAATAGTCTACCTTCTTTGTTCACACTGTAATTCCTCCCAATCAACCAACCTTTACTTAAGGGAGGCACACTGCAACCTCAGCTGAATCGAGTCACAGTGGCTTGACTCAAAAGCAGGGCTTCATTGCACCAACACTGGGATTCTTTCAGGAAATCCTTCACTGAATCTGGATTATGGCCCAGCCTTATTTCTCACAACCTAAAGCCACTGCTGTTAAGATATTTACCCAAGTCCAAACCACAGAAGAACTTCCTTTTCTAAGAAGTTTGTGGTATTTGGGGGAGAGCAGAAATTTTTTAAAAATCAACATGTCATTTTCCTACCATGTATCAAACCAGTAAGGGGGTAATGAAAATAGCATTATTAAACAACAGGCCACTTGGCTATACTGACTCCAGTCCCATGGAGGCCTCCTTTTTTGTGCCTTGAAACTAGAAAAAGAAAGGGAAGTGTTTTTGGTCATTGTCATTGTGTTATCTTTTTGTTCTTCTTGTGTATTTATGCAGTTGGGAGTATTTTCACAAAATTTACAACAGCCACAAAGAAACAGTGGCATCAAAGCAGACACTAATGTAAGGATATGATCAGAGATGGAACAAACCAGTGTCATTCATTTGTTTATATAAATGAGTACAGCTGCAAAGAGAAGTAGACTGTATATGTTGGTATCCAGCCAATAAGAAGTAGGTGGGTACAGGGACAAGTTTAAAAAAAGTTCCTAAAATTCTATATTTTATTTGGAGAACTTTTATCAAAAGTAATGTTGCCAAAGAAGTCTGAGGAATTGGTAATGTTCCCATCACTTCACTGGAGTATGTGATTCTAAGAGAGTTTGTGACTTTCTTGGACTGAATAACTTTAGTAAGGAGAAGTTATAGGACCACATCCTTCACTTCTCATATATACATAAACTGATAAATCTTTTATTGGACTGTTTGACCATTAAACTATATATTTAGAAATGGTCATTTCTAGGAAAATTGGAAAACTTGGTAATAGTGCAGAATAACTCAATATTTTACGTAATTTATGTGGAACTGTCAATGACAAAAATTCTTTTTGATTATTTATCATGTTTTTAATCAGAATAAAAGTGTAAGAATTAAAAGTTTCAAGAGTCAAAAGAAGAAAGCACCTATTATAATTATGCAATTATTTTTCATTATAAAAGATAAATTTGTCCCAGAATCTAACTACAGTACAATCTCAGTTCACATGCCATTAATTTGTGTTGTTGATAATTTGACCATTCACTCACTTCCTACTTAACTTTATGACGTTGACCAAAGGTCACTTTTTCTGCAATCCTTGATCATCCCCAGAATTTTCTCTCTGTACCAGCCTTTTATTTCTGTAACACAGTGTTACAGGACTTAACACTACACTGCTGCTCACAACCAGAGACTTTATCATCTCTTTGCACAGGGCATATTAAGAGCTCAACTAATTTATTTGTTTAAAGCAATGGTCAGTGAACTCAAATCTAATAAAAACAAGGCTCTAAGAGAGAGAAATCACCAAAGCAGCGAGGTGTGGTGGAACACCCCTGTAATCCCAGCCACTGGAGGCTGAGGGAGGAGAATGGCAAGTTCCAGGCTGGCCTCAGTAACTTAGCAAGGCCCTCAGCAACTTAGTGAGACCCTTAGATTTTTTTTTTTTAAAGGGCTGTATGGGCAGTTTAAGTATTGGCTCTTTAGGCAAACTACGCAATCACTATAGACAGGAATCCACACCCACGGAGTGTAGGAAAAAACTTTATAATTGCTAAGTTCACTTAGTGGGAGACCATACCTCTTTTCTTCAAGCCCGGCCCAAGTTCTACCCCACATTATAAACCACTCAAGGACAAAGTAAATTATATGATTCATCAACATATGCGCTGATTCCCACCAACGCCTACACTCAAACGCCTTTGGTAAACTAATGCACAGCCTAGTGCACGTGGCGGTCCGAGTCCGTATTTTGAGGTCGCACTGAGTTCCCCAGTGCACCACCGCCCGACGGCCCGCCTATCCTTCTAGGACTAAAAGCCAACACGTAGGACACGAAGTGAGGAAGTCAGGGTGGCAAAGAAGGGAGCGATAACCGTGAAGAGGACGTTCGGGACCATGTTACACTCCAGCGCAAAAGCCGGAACACGGCAGCCCCACGGGCGCGTGACCCACAAGCCGAGCGTCCTGCGCCCTAACTACAGCCCCCGGCATGCACTGCGTCCAGCCCCGCCCCTCGCCGGCCGGCGGGGCCCGGAGGAGGCAGTCAAGCTGCCCGCGCCGGGGCCCTCCTCGAGCCCTTCCGCTGTGGCGCCTTCTCTAACCCGGGCTGGATATTTCCAGGGCCGCAGACGGCCGCTGTCCCCGACACGGCGCCACTTCTGCAGAAGTCGCCAGACATTGTGGACCTCCGGGCTTTCTGTCAGGCTTTCGTGCCCGACGCTTCCGCAGTGAGCGGCCGGCCGGGTGGGCGTTCCGGCTACGAAGGACCCCGCCGCGGCCCCGGAAGCGCCTGGTTCCGGGCATTGGTGGTGCGGCGATAGCCGTGATGGCTTTGGGACTGGGCGGCTGACCGCTGGGCTAGGAGCAGGCCCAGGGCCTAGAATCTCAGTGGCCGCTTTTTAAGCACGGCTTCACCATGGCCACCTCGGCCGCCTCCTCTGAACATTTCGAGAAGCTGCACGAAATCTTCCGCGGCCTCCATGAAGATCTACGAGGGGCACCCCAGCGGCTGCTAGGGACTGCCGGGACCGGTGAGGCGGGGGCGGGACAAGCCGTGGGGAGCGCGAGTTTAGGAAGAAAGAGTCTCCTCCCTCCTACCGGGCACCGACCCCTTGCTCCCCGCTTCTCTCCCTCAGACACGCCTCCTAGAGCTGGCACGTCCCAGCATTCAGGGGTCTCCCTGCTGTCACTGAGAGGGGGCTGGGGACGTGGCCAGGGTGCCATTTCTCTGGGATCTTCCTGTGGCCTTCAGAATTTTCTCGGTCCCCCACCACACACGGTGGCAAGAAGACCGTACGATTGTTAAATCTACCGTTCTATTTCAGTAGAATGGGTTTCTTTTGTAATTCTGTATTTTGTTGTAGTCACTTAAAAGCATTATCATCAAGAGAGGCTTCATCAGACAAAAGAATCCATAACACAGAATAGGGCCAGGAACCCAAAAGAATCATACCTTCTTGCTATTGGAATGTAAGGGTTCATGGGAGTTTGCCAGAGGTGGGGTGAAAAGAGGCAATGAAATTTAAAAAAAAAAAATGAATACTCCCAACTGGAGCTTAGGGTGTAGGTGGAAAAGCAGCTAGTGACAAGGAAGGTGAAACACACTGTGGAGGGACCTAAATGTCATATTAAAATTCTTGGACCTGATACAGAGAATCAGTAAAGGATTTTAAGCAGCTGATTAATATGAATTTTATTTTAGAAAGAGTGCTGTGATGGATGGATAAGAGGCTGGCTATAGGAGACCATGTTAGGAGCTTGAGTGACAGTCATCTAGAGGGAGGTGGTTCTAAGCAGAAATTAAGCAGACTCATTAGCTATTGAAGGAGTGAGAAAAAAGGTTCAAGTGTTTCTAAGTTTTTTCACTTGGTCAGTTGAGTGAATGATGAACTTGAAATAAGAAAAGAGAAGCAGCCAGGCATAGTGGCACATGCCTGTAATCCCTGCTACTGCAGATGCTGAGGCAGTAAGATCACAGGTTCTAGGTCAGCCTAGGCAACTTAGGGAGACCTGTCTCAAAACAAAACTAAAAGGCTGGGGATGTACCTCAGTGGTAATGCACCCCTGTGTGTGTGAGAGAGAGAAGTAGACTTCTTTGCTTGGAGGAGATCATCAAGGGTAACTTTAGAATAGAAATCACAATGCATATATCTGTTTTAGCCTAACAAAAATATTTTTTCTGCCATCAGAAATATCATTTATGAAGAACATATTAATGTGAATGGAGAGACAGCATAGTAATACTTAAAAGCAAGAATTCTAGAGCCAAACTGGGTTAAATATACATTTTGATAGCTATGTGATCTTGCAAGTTATTTTAACCAAATTAGTTTCCCTTGCAGAATGGGGATAAATCATACTATTTAACTTCATAGGATCTTGGTGAGGAATTAATGAGTTAATGTATGTAAAGCCCTTAGACTATTACCTTGCAATAATAAGAACTGTTAGTTATTGTTATTAACATATGAGAAATTTGATATTTAAATGAAAACTAATACCAATTCTGTATACAACTAACTACTCTTATGTAGCTCTGCTTTTTCCCCCCAGAACATTTATTTTCTGATATAGTAGACACTTTACATATTTCTGATATTTATATAAAATGTTTGTTTTCCTTTCATTGGAAAGATAGTTTCAGTGTGGTCCATGAACCAGCAGCATCAGCACCATCTAGGAACTTGTTAGAAATATAAATTCTTAAGCCCCACCCTAGACCCACTGAATCAGAAAACTGTTTTGACAGCTCTCCAGGGGATTTCTGAAGCAAACTCAAGTTTGAAATCCACTGAGCTAGAATATAACTCAGTATTTTATTTGCTTTGCTTATTATGAATCCTGAATTCCTAAAATATTGCCTAGCACATGCTAAGTGATAAATATTTGTTGAATGATTGAATTGTGTAAATACTGTGAATTGTTGTAAAGAAAATAACTGAGTATTGGGCTGGGGTTGTAGCTCAATGGTAGAGCACTTACCTACCATTGTGTGAGGCACTGGGTTCAATCCTCAGCACCACATTAAAATAATAATAATAATAATGATAATAAAGGTATTGTGTCACTCTACAACTAAAAAAATCACTGAATATTAAAACTAATAGTGTGTTTTTATTGTTTTTACTTTTTTATTACTCTTAAAATTGATATATGCAACTACTTTTTAAGGGAATATCATGCTCCAAATTCTTTTATTTTGTTTATTTGTTTTTATATGGTGCTGAAGATCAAACCCAGTGCCTTAGCACTCTACCACTGAGCTATAATTCCAGCCCTATATGCAACTATTAGAACAACAAAGATGGAGATTTTTATTTTCCTAAAGGACAGTCCACATTCAGTTTCTGCCATTAAAGGATAATAGACAACAAGTGTCATTTTAGGAAGTTTTTGTAGCCATGACAATCCATTTATTATCATATACTATAATTATCAATCTATTTAATATAATGTTAAGACCTACAGCAGGATTTCAAGATTCAGTTTTGTACCACCTGAATAGGTAAATACCTCAGTGTTATAATTTCTTTTTTAAAATTTTTTCTTTTTAATTGTTAATGGGCCTTTATTTTATATATTTATATGTGGTGCTGAAAATCAAACCCAGTGCCTCACACATGTTGGCAAGTGCTTTACCACTGAGCTACAACCCCAGTCAATTTCTTAATTTAATTAGTATGTT